CGCCCAAAAGCACCCTCAAAGCTGTTGGTTCCATTATGGGCCGAATCATGAAACTGAGCCTGCACTGTTGCTGCAATCTGACATGCATGATGGCCCGACCCCATGTTTGATCACACACCGTAGCGGAACAGCCTGTGCATCAGCAGCTAGCGTATGTACTTCAGGTACATCTGTCCGCGAGTGCAGAAAACACTTTTCTAAGTGTGTTTTCGCGTGTTCTGTTGAGGCAATAGCCTGGCTGTATGACCGACGGATTCCCGTCGTCTTGATGGAGCGACAGCCCGGTCCTTCGAGGGTATCCCCGAACCAAGACAGCATGTCACCATGTGGGATACCTCTGAGGACTCGCATTTTCCCGCTGATCTTCGACATGGACTTGAAGGTTACATCGCAGGATACGACGGAGGGCAAGAAGTCGGAGCATGTTTTTCCAAAGCTGGCCGAAAGGCTTGGCTGCTACCTTGGCCTTGAATGTGCCTTCTTTCACCTTCTGGTGTGGTTGCGGTCCATACTCTGCATGACCCCTCTGTCGAACTCCAGCTATTTTGTCTCCCGTGTCGCTGCCGCACCTCTGATTGCGATAGGCCGCAGTGTCATGGGAGCAAGGTAGGCTGCCTCCTGGGGGGGCTTTCTCGCGGAGAGCGTCTGCATATATCGTTCCGGAATACACGCAACATTCGCTGTTTCGCGCAGATGTACTATTCAATGCAACCCTGAGATTCCATCCATGCCTTCTCTTTCACCTTCCAACGAACAAACCCCAGGCTGAGATGCACCGCAAACGTCTCCTCTTTAGATGCACCATGTTGGACACCCAGACCTGCTAGGACATGCTGGACTCAGTGCCAGTGCGCATCAAGCGGACGAGGTCGGCATGCCCGTCCTGCAGTGGGAGCAGTTGCATTAGCTGTGCCTCATGGAACGGGCAAACTACGAAGCATGGAGCCCCCATCGTGATGTGCATCCTCTCATACGAGCCGGTGGTTTTAAGCCCAAAGTGATGAAAGTGACGGGAGTACAGCCACATCAGAGATTATGCCCATGCAAGCAAGAATTCGCAGGCTCGGGCCCCGTGGTCCCGCATGGCAGCCCCTCCATTTTACTGTAATTCTAACGCCACGTAGCCCGCCTCGGCTCGAAAGTGGTGAGTCTGAGAAGCTGCGGTCCATGGAGGAAGGGTCCTGGCACTCCCCAGCTTCAGCGAACAGGAGGGAAAGGGGGGGCCGGAGGGGGGGAGGGCAGGGCAGGTGAAATTTGTGAGAGGGGCCAGCCGAAATGGGGGGTCGAAACTGTGGCCAGAAGCGCATGTCACCAAACTTTTCATTTGCAGGGAGGAGGATTAGGTAGAGGGCATTTAGTTGAACCTCCAAGACGCCGTGGGCCTGTGGCCTCGGCGGACTCTGGGACAAGACCCCACAGCGGTTCTGAACCATGCGATCATCTAGTTATCCAGGGAGCACTCATTCAGTGTCACACGGCAGGCCCTGGCGAGGTCGCGTCGATTTTTGCCGCTGGCACGGTGCTGACCATTTTGTCCTCAGCAAGGTCTGGGTCGCAAGAGATGATGGTGATGCTGGGAACATGTATAGTGAGATGCTGGTAGGACATGGTGCTGCTGCGGCACTTGGGAATGATCGTCTTTCAGTTCTTCCCGGACGGAAATGGCTTTCTATCGCCTGTGACCGTCCACACTGGGAAGTGCTTTCGATGTCTCCAGTGTTCGCATAGGATCTCCCCCTGATCGACTTTTGCATCTTCAACGCGTCCGGCTGGGACAGAGTCAAAGAGTTGGTCAAGGCAGGTTTTCAACGGCAACTTACTTGGTTCGTCCCTGGAAGCATCTTGCATCCATCAGGTTTCGCTGCACCTCGTTGCTCCATATGTGCCGCACCCCCAGATCGTCGATTCCAGATCGTGGATGCACAATTGACCTCTTGCGGAACTGTCTTTGGCACTGTGCTGTGGATCCCGAGTACTCGAACCTCACCTGTCAGTAGCCACGGTTTTCTCTGTTGATGACCTGTCTAGGCTGGTCACACCCGATCGCCTTACCGCCATTCGGGAGAGGATGCTGGAGTGCGCCGACACCTGTGCTGTTACAAGTAAGCTCCTGTTGCGGAGCAGGTATCTGGGCGAATGCTCAGAAGCTGATGGTCATCCATTGGCAGACCTGCTGCAGACCTATCTCCACGAATCGGAGGCACTGCGTTCAACAGGCAGACCGACACGTTTTGATTAAAGGAACAATCGCTGCAGGACAACACTTGGGACAAGGTCGTAGACCAAACCGTGACAAGTGGGACGAATGGTCTGCGCATGCCGTGCCCCACGGTAGTGTCTTCGGTGTACGGTGCCCTTCGACAGACAGCAGGTACTGTGATAAAGCTCAGAGGAGCCTGCAGCCCAGTTCCTGAAGCGACGTGATGTTTTCAGTAGGTTTGCTCCATCTCCTTCCTTGCCATTGGCGCCGCCATAACAAAATGCTTCCCTTGTGCCAAGTCCTGAAGAGGGAGTTCGCGGACCGCAAGCGGCGGGGAGAGGTGCAGCTGCTTCTCACATGTTCCAACGTGTTCGGCTTGCATCGAAAGACGCATCCGCGGCATGGTGTCTCTGGCATTCCGAACGTTAGCAGGTCTTCACTGAGCGGCAGCTCATGGACCTCCACGCGTATCTGAAGGAGGAGGCAGCCTTGATTTTGCTGTCAGACGGGCCCAGAAGGGCAGAAGCGGTGAGATGCGAAAGGCGGGCCGTCCCTGCCTTCCCGAGGGCATCTTGCGGCTAATCCCAGCCGCTGCTCTCAGACTACGAGCGCTACCTGTGACTTCCATTGGGCCGGGTCTGAAAAGAGGCCAAGAATGCGGAAAACGAGAATGCGCTGCCGGAGGCAAGATGGGAAGCCTCTGTTGGCCTCGTGCTTTCTGAGAGCCCTTAGCCTCACAGTCTGCTGAGCAGAGAGCCAGGCGAAGTGGATGTGCAAAGGAGATGACTTGCCGATAGACGAATGGATTCGACTGGGAAGGCCTCGTTCTGCTGTACCTGCTGTACTTGCTCGGCCGTTTTATGCCAGATAGGGCGATGTGACAGACTGCTGTGTGGTTGCCGATCGTTGAGGTGCCGCTATGCTTGGCGCATGCCTTTGGCACCGCCAGGCGTGTGAGTGCCTGCTTCTCTGATGTGGTGATGGGCTACACAAGTGAAGCGCGTGAGTGTAGGTCCGACCCCTTGGCGGCCTCCGCTTCGCTATCAGTGCGACCCCCGTTCCAGGCGAGCGATCTGAGAAAAGCTTCTGTTTCGCACGCCAGGTGGGTGGAGCCAGTCCCTCTCTGGGAGGCGCCGTTTGTTCGCATATTGAAGCTCGGGGCCAGCTCGGGCGCCGAGGATCGAACCCAACTGAAAGGCAGCCCCGTGGTGCGTCGCTCAGCTCGTCCCGCCGACGAAGCGGCTTCGTCGCTTCTTCAGGTGCGGAAATTCCATGGCTCGGCCGCTGAGTTCCGCAGCAACTGGGAAGAGGCCGCGAGCCTATGCGAGCCTCGGAGAGAGAGTCCGAGTTTCAGAAAAGCGGAAGCGGAGGACCCGGTTTTTGTCATATTTTTCCCATCTTTCACCAGGCCCTGAGCCGCTCCCCGAAGCTCTCGGGTCGCTGGCTGATCTCGAGCCGGGTCTCCAAGGGCCGAGGGACTCTTAGGGGGGCGGGGGGCGCTTCGCTTCGCCCTCCGTCTCCGTCGCTGGGACCCGACCCGAGGCATCGACGCGCGCTGGCGTGGCGGCCTGGAGAACGACTCCACTCATGAGGCTCGGGGTCTAGCAGTCTAGCAGGAGGAGGATTATCAAAGTGCCGCCATGGCTGATGGCACTTGGAGGTTCGCTACATCGTGCGAGCTTCCCGTGTGATTCTTCTGCAGAGCCCTCTGTGCCCTCTGTGCTGTGCTGATCACGGCGATCTGATGCTTGCTGGGCACAGAGGTTGTCTCCTGAAGTTGGGGCAGCTTTGGCTTTCACGGAGAAGCTTGGCGGATATTTTTTGGGGTCGTTCGGGAGAGTCGAGCAAATCCGTGACCTCTGCACAGTGCAACTGACTCGAGGCTTCGCAAGGTCTTGGCTGGTTGGACGGAGCCGGATGACTTTCTGCAGCCAGCTCAGCACTGGGCTCTCTGCCCCCCGCAAGCATAGTATCAGGGCGGGTTCGGTGCATTGCCATTGCCAGGTGTGTGCCCATTTGCGGCTCCCCCTCCGACTCACACTCGTCGGTTGGAGCCCTGGTCTCCGGGTGTTGGAGCTGAGACCTGCGGCCTCCGATAGGCACTGCACACCATCGTCGCTCCGTCGAAGGAATTCCCAACCTTGCAGGCCCATACTTGGCACATCCTGAGGCTGCAGACACATCACGGTTTTCATGACGCTCTGCGGAAGTGCGGGCCAGGCAGCTCTAAATGCTGTCCCAAGCGATGAGCCTCTCCATCGCGCCAGCTTCCGAGCATGCGCCTGCAGCCAGCTTTCCATGCAGCTCAGCGCCTCTAAACTTGCTGTCGAAGGTTTTGGTGAGGTGCGGCACGCACGAGCTCCCAGAGACATTGTCTGGAGCCTATGCCCGGTTTGAGCACGGCAAGCGGCATGTCAATGTCCTGTAGCTGCGTACTGCAAGCTAGGTGCATCAAGCGGCCGGTCTTGCTGGAGGGGGAGGGCCGGTGGGAAACGACTTTGAGGAGCTTCAGCTTTAGCTCAGAACGGCACTGCCACAGTTCTACTGAGCAAGTGCCGCACATCCGGGTCTGCCTCTGCGCCGGTTCGACCTGCGTCATATTCTGCACCGAAGTCATGTCTCCTTCATGTCTCCTCCATGATGCCTAGACACCCTGGAGCCCACAAATACAAACTACTCGTACTTCATGTACCCAGGTACTCGTAGCTGCCATGAGGAGCTTCGGCACGATTGCGCCAGCCATGGCCCGGAGCAAGCGGAGTCGCTGTTGCCTCCTTCTTTTGCTGCTTCCACTCCTCGGTTTGACTTTCAGTACGCCCCGGCCCAAAGAGCGAAGCTTTGGGCAGCAACTGCTGGATATGGCCCTCGAATCCCCGCTTTACAAGATGCTGCTAGTGCCGCAGGCCCGGAGGACCATGGTGGACACCGCAGAGGCCAACGGGATTGGATGGAGCTCTTCTTTGGAGTACATCCGCGGTCAAGGACCTTGGGATGACGCGGTCTTGCAAGAGCTAGAAGCCGGCTCGCCGGCGAAGCCTCCGTCGTACTACAAAAAGCCTTTCCATGCCTACGACACGGGCAACCTGAACTGGGAGGCTGCGTTTGAGCAGGAACTTGCGAGCAGGGCAGTAGGTGCGAGAAACTTCCCGGCATTTGGGAAGGACGGCGAAGATGCTTTTCGAGCCGCCTTTGACAACGCCTTGGCCTCGCTTGGGGCAGCTGTTCCTGACGGTGGTGTCATTGTGGATATGGGATGTGGCACAGGGATCAGCACAAGGCGGTTGGCAGCGCGTTTTCCGAATGCATCTCGGCTGATCGGCTTGGACCTGTCGCCGTACTTTGTTGCTGTAGGCCGACGCCTGATGGAGCTGGAGCCTGAAGCCGGAAATTGGGTCACCGACGTAGTTGCTGACAAGCGAGTCGAACTGCGGGTTGCTGATGCAGAGAGCACGGGCCTGCCAGACGAGTGTGCAACAACCGTAAACCTCTGCCTAGTGATCCACGAGCTGCCTCCGGACATCACGAGACGGGTCTGCGCGGAAGCCTTGCGACTTCTGAAGCCGGGAGGCCAGCTCTGGATCACTGAAATGGATTTTTCCGCACCAGGCTACGTGCAGCTGCGTTCGAATCCCTTGCTGTTTGCTCTTATCCGCTCCACAGAGCCATATCTGGACGAGTACGCAGACTCAACTGAAGAGCTGTTTCGCCATCTGGCAGAACTCGAGCCTGTGGAATCTGTGTCTTGCCTGGCACTTGCTTGGGGTATGGTCGCCAACACCCAGTCATCTTGCCCTGCTCTGCTAAACCAATCCTGTTGCCGCAGGTGCGTCTGACGGCCGCCACTGGCAGGCACTTTGCCGTGGTTGTCACGAAGGGCCGCGGAAAGGAATCGCGGCTGGATGACCGGCGTTGGGATGAGTTTGGTGTCTCGGACTTGTTAGCTGTTGGCATCCATGCTGATCGTTTGTATTTCATGTGCAGATCACCTGCGAGTGTAGCCGGGCATGGCCGAACGAGCTTTCTGCTAGTTAACTGTCATGCATACACCTCCGACAGATTTGATTCCGAGGCAACTACGTGCCCTGGCAACATGAGCCTCTGAACTTTCAGTATCTGCTGCAGTGATTGCCTACAGCTGCGCCCTTGCTGTTTGGAATGTGAGAGATGCATCTTGCCGAGGTCGTGGAAGACACGCACCTCCAGACCTGGGAGAGCAAGCTCTCCGAGTGATGCCTGAGTCAAGTTGCATCGACTGATGGTGCGGATAAAGACAAGTTGAGCGGGAGCTGCGAGTGTGGCCTTCCTGCAGATCGCAGACTCTGCAGACTGCAGGACGAAGAACCAAACAGCTCTGCGCCTCTACGGGTCCCGACCTCGGGGCTTCTCTCCTTATCTCCCTTCTTCCGACCACAGCGCATGTCTTGGAGGCCAGGAGCTCACCGGGTGTGCCTGCCATCTTACTGCTTTTCGACGGTTTAGCGCCCTATACCAGCAGTTTGGGCGACGTTCGCCAACTTGAAGTGCATGGGCACGGTGCCTGGACATAGTAGCATCGTTTGCCTGCATCCGTCCGCATCATTAGATTTCCATTCGCGATCATTCACCGCAGTGGTGGCTTTGGCGTATGGATAAAGATGCTGAAGCACAAACTTGTCAGGCGATGGTGCGCAACCTGCGAGTGGAAGTCTACGGAGGCGAGCAAGGCCACGCCACAGAACTGCCAAAAAGTGAACAGGGCAGGCTGTTTGCGATGGTTGGAGCTATAAGCACCGAGGTGGGGCTGCTGTGGAGATTGACGCTTTGGAGGCTGGGTTTGCTGTGTTGCATGCAGTCCTTCGTGGGAGCACTGCAAGGGCGAGGCTGCCGTCGTAGGCTGCTACCTGGCAGCTGAAGGCCGGCCCGAGCGAAGCGGAGCCTCTCTGTGGCGTCGCGTGAGTTCAATTTACGGAAGCCTTTCCTTGAGGCACTTGGGGTACATGCGTATGGGCTCGTGGCGGGTCTCCTCAGATTGCAGCCTGGCGCAGATTCAGGGAAGCACAAACTGTGTGCACATGGGCTGGGAATGTGCGTCCCTTGCATCGCAGATCCAGGTGCGGAACTTTGTCGCACGCGCTCGCTGGGGCGTGGTCTCGCCCTGAGCAGAGTCACGAACGTTGTAATATCAGGAGCGAGAGTCAGAGCTTGACTGGGACATGTGGGTTGAATCCCAGGTTCTGATTGGCACGGGCGGCCGTGTCGAAGACAACAGCATCCGTGGTCTCGGCGAAGCGGTACGCCTTGCAGCGGAATGCTATCTGGTCTTGAGTGTAATGTAGCTCGGATGTGTGCTGTTCATCCAGCATGTGTAGCTCAAGAGCGCTCCACAAGTGACTCAGAGCCATCTTGTCAAAATCCACCCGACAGGGACTCGTGCTCGTCGGTGGCAGCACCTGGGTGCGGGACTCGCTTGAAGGTCTCTCGCAGCATTTCCGGGACACGCGTCGCCACTTAATATCAGCAAGAGTTTCTCAGCCCCTTGCCCCATAGGGGACGGAGCTGCAAAGTGTGCCCTGCTGGGAGCTTTTCATTTACGGCATTTTCTGGCATTTGTTTGGAGTAAGCTTCAAAAACTTCCCCTCGTCTATTTATATGCGCTGAGAAACATCAGTGCAGTGCAGACGCGTGACCTCCGTGTGCTCCGAATGCTGCAGTGAATATAAACAGTCGAAGAGTGACATGGAAACAGCCTGTCCTTGTATTACAGGACAAGGGTAAGTGACGGCGGCAGAGGAGTTCGGAAGTCTGAGATGTCGTTGTTGACTGCGTCACCGGAAGAGCAATTCGTCGACGTGCCACATTGCCCGATTATGCTCTGCGACATTTGCAGGCGGCAGGTGTCTGAGGATGATCGTTAATAAACCTTGGAGATCCGAATCGAAAGTGAGGATCATACTACCTAACTTTCGTTCTTCTGAAAAGCACCAGTGCGGACGATTGTCGTCGGGCAGAAGCTCCGTGTGCTCCAAGCAA